CCCAACATGTTCTTTTTATTCTTTTATTTTTTCCCCCTCAGGCAAAAAATTCAACAGGGGGAAAAAAAGAGCCTTTAAAATAAAATGGTTGAGTTAAAAAGATATTCACAGATATTTTGCCAGACAAAAATAAGGTTTTCAAATACACAAATAACTTGTCAAATCAGTAAGAATAGCATGCGCCAGGAACACCTCAACAGATCTGACACTAAGCTGGAGGCAAACCTAAAAGCAGCCCAATTTCTAAGTGCCAAATGAGAATGACAAAAATTGAATAAAGTAAATGGGAAGAATGAAAAAAATTATTACATGCTCACACAAATGCATGTACAATTTAGCATAGTTTATCTGTAGATCCAGAATGCAAGGAAAAAATTCATAACTTCTAAAACTGTATTAGATAAAAGAAAAAATATATGAGAAACAATCAAAATAAAAACTTCAGTCAGCCGGGCGCAGGTAGCTCATGCCTGTAATCCTAGCTATTCAGGAGGCTGAGATCAGAGGATCATGGTTCGAAGCCAACCTGGGCAGGAAAGTCCATGAGACTCTTTTTTTTTTTTTTTGGGGGGGGGGGGGGGAGGTCCAGTCATTGCGCTTGAACTCTGGGCCTGGGCGCTGTCCCTCAGCTCTTCAACTCAAGGCTAGTGAGCTCTACCACTTGAGCCACAGCGCCACTTCCGGTTTTTTTCATTTTGCTTATGTGGTGCTGCAGAATCGAACCCAGGGCCTCAGGCATGCAAAGCAAGCGCTCTACCACTGAGCCATCTTCCCAGCGCATCCATGAGACTCTTATCTCCAATAAACATAGAATATTGGAAGTAGTGCTGTGGCTCAATTGGTAGAGTGCTCGCCTTGAGCTGAAGAGCACAGGGACAGTGTCCAGGATTAGAGTTCAAGCCCAACGGAAAAAAAAAACAATTATATATATATATATATATATATAACCAGGCCCAAAGAAACATAGGTCCCATGGTTTCCCTTATTTGCAATCACTAGTATATGTCTGGGACTAGCAGAAAAGGTCAGATAAGATGATGTTAAGTGAAATGAACCCCAAGATAAGGACAAGTGGTTTTTTTTTTCTTGTATTGCTTCTAACATATTTATAAGTACCATGTGATTTTTTTGATGCTTTATATGTCCCTCCCCCACGGTATAACCCCTGTAGGTATAATTTGGGGAGAGGAAGAGAAAAAACAAATTGTTAAATAGGGATATAGTGACCCATTGCAACAATAAGATGTATAAGACACTATGTTGAAAAACAAACATTACAATTTAGGCAGGGGTTGGGGAGGGTAGTTGTGGAGATGGGAGGGAAGGGATGGTAGGGGAAAAACAAAGGAGGAGGCAAAAATGCTTGATAAGAACTGTACTCATAAAAAAAAAAAAGAACTGTACTCATTACCTTGCTCATGTAATTGTAACCCCTCTGAACGGTATTTTCACAATAAAAAAACAACTTTGGTCTTTAACAGTTGAATACAAACATGGATTATGAAGGGGATTCTGATCATGATTTTAAATTAATATAATAAACAATATTGCTCAAACATTTTTCAAAATTAAAAATGCTTATAATTTCTCTAAACAATTCTTTTGAGTTCTGCATTTATAATACATTGTCATTAACCTATTTCTTGTGACCAATTGTGCAGGCAGATACCTACTTGGAAAGGGAAAAGAAAGCTGGTTTTTGTTGTTGTTGTTTTTGTTTTTTAATTTAATTTTTTTTGTGAACATACTGTACAGAGGGGTTACAATTACACGGGCAGGATAATGCGTACATTTCTTATCAAGCATTGCAGCCTTCCCCCCAATCCTCCCCCTCTCCCCCCCCCCCACCAACGTTGTAAAGCTCGTTTTCAACATGACAACTTGTACTTCTCATTGTTGCAACAGGTCCACCTGTATCCTTAAACGACTTGTTTTTCCCCATCTCCTCCACAAGTTATACTGACATCAAATATAGTGAAAGCAGGGTTATACTGTGGGGGAGGGACATACAAAGCAACAAAGAGATAATCTTATAAATGCGTTAGAAACAAATGCATGAAAGAAAAAAGCATTAAAATACATATCTAAGGGTTCATTTTCCTAACATCACATTATCTGACCTTTTCCGCTTGACTCATACATATACTAGATATTGCAAGTAAGGGAAACATGGGACCTATGTTTCTTTGGGCCTGGCTTACTTCACTTAATATAATTTTTTCCAAGTTTTTCCATTTCCTAACAAATGGGGCAATGTCATTCTTTCTGATGGAGACATAGAGTTTTTGTTTTTGTTTTAAAGAAAGTTGTTTTAAGTCAAGAAACTGTGACAAATATGTGCTAACTTTCAAGTGAATAAAGGAAAACTTCCCAGACAGTTGAATACCAAAACAATCACAAACGAAAGTACATATTATAGTTTATACTAATGTGACAATGATTAGTACATAACCTTACAAATGTTAACCCTTACTAAGGTAAGGATAATATTTATGTAATAAAACAAATCTAGTACCCCTCTGTTGGTTTTGAACGGGAGTTTTTTGAACAGTAAAGTTATTTAAAAAAATAGTATATGGCTCAAGCCTATAATCTGCCTGTAATCCTCGGGCTGTGATCTGAGATAATGGTTCAAAGCCAGCCTGGCCAGCAAAGTTTCTAAGACTCACTCCCATTAACCACCAATAGCCAGAGAGTAGTGCTGTGGCCCAAGTGGTGCAACACTAGCATTGGGAAAAAAAACCTCAAGGACAGCACCCAGGCCCTGAGTTCAAACCCTAGAATGACCCCTACAAACAATAACATTTTAACAATAACTTTTAAAGATTTGCAACTAATAAAGAATGGCTCTGCTCTTGGACCAGGGCCAATGTATTTTATTCCTTTTTTGATCCAAGAATATTTACTTATAGTAGAAATCAACTAAAACATTCAAAATCCTTTGGAAAGGACATAAAGTTCTTTTAATTTTCCTTGGGGGAAAAAAAGTATAGGTGTAAAGGAGAGGAAATAAAGCAAGATTGCTATCACCTGTTTTCAGTAAGAGGCATGCTTTGCCTTTCTCAATATTCTTTGAAAAATGCTATCCTCCTATTTATCCCTCAGGGAATGATTAAACATTACTTTCAGCCACTTCATTCAAAGCTAAAGAAAAAATTAATCTAAGACACAGACATTCATAAAAGTTTATGGAAGAGCAACATATAAGAAAAGATCTTGATGTGGGAAGGTGGCTCAGTGGTAGAGCGCTTGCTTTGCATGCCTGAGGCCCTGGGTTTGATTCCTCAGCACCCCATAAGCAAAAAGAAAAAAGCCAGAAGTGGCGCTGTGGCTCAAGTGGTCGAGTGCTAGCCTTGAGCTGAAGAGCTGAGGGACAGCGCCCAGACCCAGAGTTCAGGCCCCACGACCGGATCCAAAAAAAAAAAAAAAAAGAAAGAAAGAAAAGAAAAGATCTTGAAGCTTTCTGGATTTTCTAAAGTGAGAATACAATTAGAAGTCCTTAATTAAAATGAAGAGGGATATCCAGGATTCAGAGCAATGATATTGCCATACAGTCCCAAATAAGCTTGATTTGTTTGAATACAAGTGCTCATGTTAATATTTTAAGATAAATTTTCCGATGGAAAGAAATTAATGAGGAATATTTTGTTGATAATGAATGATTTTGGTTCCAATCTTTTCCATGTTCTCCCATTCTATCATTTCTTGTCATAGTCCTGATACCCTTATCTAGAGTTCATGCATTTTCCTTCTATGTTAATGAAACCACAACACATTGACTGTAGAATCTTACTAGCTTTCCATTTGTTTTGTGTGAGCTCCTACATTAATCCAAACAATAAGGGCCTTTAAAGCATTCATAAATAACCTGCTGCTGCTGGCACCTAAAAACCAAGTGCAGCAATGTTAAGCAACAACAAATTTCATAGTTCAAGAGGCACAGTTAAGGGAAAAGGTTGCTCAGAAAATCACTCTTATTTAGCACAAAGATCCTTAAAAATTGCATGAAATCAGTCAAGTAACTATAGAAACCAATTTCTTCAGCTCCATATCACACATCTCACACCTCAATTGTCTTTATTATCATCTGCTGTCAGATCCTTAATCAGAAATGTGAACAGGCTTGATGATTTATTCAGGAAGGGAAAGAATCTGTAGGTCAAGTGAAAAAATTCTCACACACACACACACACACACACACACACACACACATCTCCAACCTTAGGTACTTTCATTTCATTCTGTTCTCAGCAGCTCTGGGGGCAACTCCAGTGAGATCCAATATTAAGGCTCAATTAAAATAAGCTCCAATTAGTGGAGCTTTTTTCTCTGGGGCTAGAAAAGTCAGGAAATGGATATTGGGAAATGTAAAAAGTCAGCTACTGAGAGGAGGCTGCAGACATAAATGAACTTATTTGTTGATTTCTACAGTTGCTATGCAGAGGCCTCTGGGAGTAAAAGCTTAACCAGTCTAAGCTATAAACTAAAACCCCTGCAGCTAAACATGAACTGTGTGAAACAAGGGCTCCATTCCAGAACAGAAAACTGCTGGGCCCAGAAAATTAAAAGCCAGAGGCGTTTTCCATTTAAAACTAAATCCCAGTACCGCCTCCCAGCCAAAGAATTATAAGCAGTATCAGATTTACAAAACGAACAATTACCCTGGAAAAATGTAGCCTATTGTACAGTCCCAGATGCTAAATCTCAAAAGTTTCTTTCTTTCTTTTTTTAATCCCACATTATATTCCTCCAAGTACACTGCTGCAGTTTACAAAGAGCCATTTCTAGACAGGCCTAAGCCTTGAAAATAAATTTAAAAGAGAGTACATAACTCATTGACCTCATTTGAAGTACTGCCCTTGCCTTCAGCAGTTCCTGTCCTTCCCCAAGGCTTCAGCAAATGGTATGCAACAGCAAAATAAACCCTGACCTAATTGCCAGGAGAGAGCTGCCAACCTTCCTTCAACAAAAAGACCAACACGGTAACTTGAAAGTCCTACCTCTTTGGCTTTCTGCTTTAATCTCAGCTGTTCTGGATCTTCTTTATTGGAACGACTCTGTGAAAGGAAAAGAAAATTTTAATAGAAATTACAAGCATCTAAACACCACAGTTGCTATTAAATATTTAATAAATGACAATTTCTCTTGTGATTGAAAATCCTAGCTCCAGGGTCAATGCCTCAATCCAGTCTAGCTGCACTTCTGCCCTCACTCCCCATCCCCCTCATCATCTGGGCTAGCTGTGCAGTTCTAGCCTGGAGGAAGCTCAGACTGAAAATGATGCTAACAATGTCAGTCAGATCCAGTTGAGGCAAGATGTGTTCTTGTTGCAACACTGAAAACTAAAAATGGATGATAGGGGGAAGAAAAAGGAAAAAGCTGTTGGCTCAAATGAATAGAAACAATCAACAATGGCTCATCATTAGGTGAAGCCACATCATTAGGTGAAGCCATTTCAGAAAAATACACAATATTTCAAGGACTATTAAAACTATGAACCTGTCTAACCTTGAATCAAATCTCGTTGTAAGTAGGAAAGACAGATTAGTATTTTTGTTAGAATGTCTTATTTTTGGGTACTCTACAACCTTTGCTAGTATGCTATGCACAAATAAATGTTCAGATATGTCTACTGAGTGAGTGTCTCTATTTTGTTTGTTATTTTAGTGCCTTAATTTTGGGTCTTCTACAGGCCATACTAGAATACTGTGAATAATTGTTCATAATTGTCATTTTTCACATTACAAGACTGTTTATAAAAAGGCAGCTATAGTCTATGTAGAATGCAATAATGGAACAAAGGATGAAAAAGTTCATTTTTGCTACCATAAACATCTGTCCATTGAAAAATATGCTAAAGGTAGGTGTACTTTTTTGTCATCCTAACACAATTTGTTAGGATGTTTGTTCTATAAAATCAGTCTTAGCTATTTAAGCTAAAGATCGCTAATAAAGCCCAGCATGTTTTTTGAGACAGGGATCTAAGGACCTAAGTTAAATACATCAGTGATAACAGGATAGAAAGATCCCTGAGATTACAGGATTGGAATTAGAGGTATCTATATCTTATAATATGCACTTGTATATATTTATTCAAAGATTCGTGTACACATATTACACAAACACATACCACATAAATCATTTGTCATTTGTTAGATTTCACCATTGATAAGGCCTACATGTAATGATAGCATACTGTGTGCTCTAATATTGGTGCCTAGCCATCTTCAACTAACAAGCCACAGACTTCCTTGGAGAAACGCCTGATTTGAGAACCAGTACAAGAAGACAAAAATCTGGACCTTGAATATCTTGTGTCTGAAAGTAAGGATATGCTTAAAGTGATAAGAGACATGACAAAAGATTAAAGTGCCAGCTTGGAAAAGTTTCCCACTTAAGATGCCATTCAAGCATCAAAATAAATAATAAAAGTTAGAATAACAGAAAATAATAACAGAAATCTGTGATCCCAGAATGATAAGCATAAAGGAGAAAAGAGAGCTCTTTCATGTAATAGAGAGTTAATGGAAATAAAGAATCAGAGTTCTTGATTATAGCCATTCTACCTGGGGTGAGGTGGTATCTCAATGTTGTTTTGATTTGCATTTCTTTTATGGCTAGAGAGGGTGAGCATGTCTTCATGTGTCTATTGGCCATCCTTCTTTCCTCTTCAGAGAAGTTTCTCTTTAAGTCTTTAGCCCACTTATTTATTGGACAGTTGTTTCCTTGAAGATTTCTTATTGGGGGATTTAATTTTTAAAGTTCCAGGTATATTTTAGATATGAGACCTTGTCTGTTGTATGGCTAGTGAAGATCTTCTCCCAATCCATGGGACTTCAATTGACCTTGCAAGCTATGTCCTTTGCCATGCAGAAGCTCTGCAATTTCATGCAATCCCATTTGTCCAACCTAATAACAACAGATGCTGGAGGGGATGCAGACAGAAGGGAACCTTACTGCATTGTTGGTGTGAGTGTAAACATTGTTGGTGGGAGCAGTATGGAGGTTCCTCAAAAGACTTCACACAGAGCTCCTCTATGACCCAGCAATCCCACTTTTGGGCATTTACCCAAATGATCACAAACAAGACCACACTACAAGCTACCAGCACGACTATGTTTACTGCAGCATTATTTACCATAGATAAGATATGGAACCAAGCCAGATGCCCCTCAGTAGATGAATGGATCAAGAAAATGTAGTATATATACACAATGGAATTCTATGCCTCCATCAGAAAGAATGACATTGTCCCATTTGTTAGGAAACAGACTTGGAAAAAATTATATTAAGTGAAGTAAGCCAGGCCCAAAGAAACATAGGTCCCATGGTTTCCCTTATTTGCAATAACTAGTATATGTCTGAGTCAAGCAGAAAAGGCCAGAGAAGTTGATGTTAGGGGAATGGACCCCAAGATAAGTATTCAAATGTTTTTTTAGTTTTTTCCTTTCATGCAATTGTTTCTAACAAATTTATAAGATGATTTCTATGTTGCTTTGTATGTCCCTCCCCCACAGTATAACCCATGCTTTCACTGTATTTAATGTTGGTATAATTTGTGGAGGGGAAGGGAAAAAAAAACAAATTGTTTAACTAGGGATACAGGTGAACCCATTGCAACAATGAGATGTACAAGTCGTTATGTCGAAAAACGAACTTAACAACTTTGGTGGGAGGTGGGGGGAGGATCATGTGGGGGTGGGGAGGAGTATGGGAAGGGATGGGAAGGGGAAACAAAGAGGAGGCAACAATGCTTGATAAGAAATGTAATCATTATCTTGCCCATGTAATTGTAACTCATCAGTATTCTCACAATTAAAAAAAAAAAAAAAAGAATCGGCATCTGGCAACTATAATAGAAGGATCTGATTTAGGCAGATGCTATGGCTAATATACAGGAGTTTGAAGAACAATGAGATATTGACACATCTTAGAATATCTTCTTATTTAAAAAAAATACAAAATTACAAAGTAGCCTATTTAAAATAGGGAACACCTACATAACCCAACAAAAAAGCTGGGCATTTGATAGATTAGCTTAGAAGAATACAGTATCATTTCTGTGCATTTTGCTAAGGAATGGAAATACCACATGAATCTAGGTGGAGCGTCTCCCTACAGGGGGCAAGCCCTGTGTTTTTGAAAACTGCCAAGGGGATGATCAAGAAACTGAGTCTGACCAAAGGAATGGAAAAAGAGAGGACCAGTAAATGGAAAACATTCTGGAATGAAAACTTGGAACATGAAACATGATGAGAAAAAACAATTGAAATGGTAGAATTAGAAAAGGACCTATATAATCGATGGTAGTGTTATACTGCTGGAATCCTGACTTGAGAAGTTACACAGAATGCCCTTATTTTTACAAATACATATAGAATGTTCAGGAGTGATGGGAAGCAACTTTTAAGGTTCAGAAAAATGAAACTAGTGCCAATAGTTATACATTCTGTAAATAGACTAAAATCCTCTGACACAAGAAAAGGAGAGAAGGCATATGACCATATTAACAAACTAATGAAAGAAGTGTGTGTGTTGAAAAGGGGAATCTAGGAGGAAACGACTGAGAACATATAGCTCTTTTAACTTTTCTGTAAGAATGAAATATTTCAAAATAAATTAGTTTTAAAAAAAATTACTTGGCATGTACTTAGGAACAAATACTCTAAGAGGGGAGGCTTCTAAAACACTACAAATTAAAAAAATAGTGCTAAAAAAAACAACTAAGACTCTGGTGCTCAGCTTTTTAAAACTGCTCAAGGTCCATAAGTTTAAAGAAGTATGGAAGTACAAAATGTAAACAGTAGTGGAATTAAGCTGTTACTTCATCTGCATTCCAGTTATAGGAAACAGTAAGGGAGAAAGAAATAGTAAAGCACCCATTTATTCTCTCTTTAATACTCTCTAATCCATCTCCATCTAGCTTATATATTGTTCCATATAATGAAAACTATTTCTAAAATTTAACTCATAATCTTCCTATTTACCTTCTAAATCTTCCCACCCTGTATTAATTTGGCAATATAAAATCATATCCTTGAAAGATTCTAAGCATTTTATAAAACACTTTACCTTGCAGGAAGGGGGGAGATGGGCATGATGCCAGGCATGTGGGAAATGAGAGGAGACAAAAGATTATGTCTCATTAAACTAAATTAACTGAAAGCCACTGTACCACACCATCCTGGCTTTGAGACATTCTATTAGTAATTTCATTTTAAGAAATCCTCAAGAGAAATCTAAAGGCTTAATAAAACCAAGACAGTCAACCAATGATAAAGCCAATTCTGACTTCATTGCCAGGCTGTGTTCACTCATAAATCACAAAGGCCCTTACCTTGGCTGCCTTAAGTAACATTTCTCTTTCTTCCAAATCCTTTCTCTGCTTCTCCAATTGATCCAGCTTTTCAAGAAATTTGAGCTGTGACCTGGTATCACTTGACAGGATGTAATTTTCACTTGCCTAGGGGGGAAAAAAAAAAAGACAGTTTTAAAATGGCCTTGGGCCACACATTCTAATTAGGTATTGTTATAAATCAGCTAAAGATAGTAATTCCAATACACATTAGGAACTAAATTTTCAGAAAGTAGTACTTTTGCTTTTGTAAACAAAAAGGAAAACAAACAAAACTCAGGAAGTTCAACAGTCCTAAATCTGAGATTAAGGATATTTAGTCATTTACATTTCAAAGAGATTGCCTAATAAACCTCATTTGGGGAGGTAGAAAGGAATGAAGCCAAGTAGATTCTAAAAACCAAGAATCCCAGAAAGTATGCTATTTGCCTATAAATTGAGATCTTTGAGTTAAATAATTGTCTATCTGAATACACTTTAATATGAGTAAGGGTAATCTTAGGCTTGTGAAGATGAAAAAAAAGCGAGAAACAATCACCTAACTGAAAAGTGTATCAAAAACAAAAGCACTCTAGTTACCATGGTTTGACTAGTCTAACCTTGAAATGTTAATATAACTATATAAAAGTAGAACTTAAGACAAGCTGGCAAACATTAAAGTCATGAAAACCTAGCTTGAGAATTCCCTTGTAAGGAATGAATTTAGACAAAAACTATGATTAAATAAATTGAGGTAGATAATTAACAAATGTGAGTCTCAACAGAGAAGTGTAATTCTTTGTCTTAGGTGTTCTATAAAATGATAAAATCTAACCCGAGGGCCAGTGGCTCATGCTTGTAATCCTAGCTACTCAGGAGGCTGAGATCTGAGGATCGCGGTTCAAAGCCAGCCTGGGCAGGGAAGTCCATGAGACTCTTATTTCCAATAAACCACCAGAAAACCGGAAGTGGCATTGTGGCTCAAGTGGCAGAGCGCTAGCCTTAAGCTGAAGAACTGAGGGACAGCGCCCAGGCCCAGAGTTCAAGCCCCATGACTGATCAAAAAGCAAAAAGATAAAATCTTCTAGGCATTAGTGTCTTACACCTGTAATCCTAACTACTTGCAAGGCTAAGTAAAATCACAGTTCAAAGCCAGCTGGAACAGGAAAGTCCACAAGAGGCTTATCTCCAATTAACCAGGGAGAAGCAGGAAGTAAAGGTATGACTCAAAAGCTCAGGGACGACATCCAAGTCCTGACTTCAAGCCCTAAGACCAGAACAATAAGAAAATCAGGTAAATTTTAAACCATTCCCCTTATTTTTATGTAAGTGTAAAAAATGCTTTCTAATCTAAATAATTACCTAATTTTCCACACCCACGAACACTGAGTGTGTGGTTTGCTGGTAGGGGAACAAAGGGGAAGGGTCTTCACAGTCATTATGTTAGACATCTGCCATCTACTTATGTGGTGGCCGTAGAGCTGAACCACCAGAACATGTAGTTCGGCAGGCATTGCAAGCTGGAAGTTAGGGTCAGCATCACTTCCATCTTCCAGCTTTGCTTTATCCCATGCTTACTTACAGCTGATTCAATTAACTGAGATTGAGAGACGGCATATGCCCAAGATTCTTTTTAAATTAAATTTTTATTATTGGTATTTAACTAGATAAAAGAGTATTACATAGTTTAAGGAACAAGGGTGTATTAATGCTACTTACTTTACTTCATGTTTAATACAAAAAGAATTCCCAAATTATTTCTAAAGTTAAATAATACAAGATAAAACATGGGATACATTAAAGGCCAATCACAGAAGTTGAACATAGTACCAGTGGCTTCTTAAATACTTACCATTTTTATGTTTAAACACATTGGAGACAGTTTACTGACATAATTCAATTTATAAGAGACAATAACCATAACGAGGGCATCGACTTTAACATTTTAACCCTATCGTATTCTCATGGTTTCCTCTTTCCCAATTTATATAAAACTGCCTTTGTCATAATCCCTGTTTCTTTTCTCTTCAGATACTTCTAGAAGAATGAGTACCTTTCTTATTCCTACTGAGTCCCTAATCTTCTTTAAACTACAGTTAACTTGGTCTTACCATGTTCTTGACTCTCTGAGGGCCAAACTAAAGTCTTCATGCATCAACAGAAAATAATTTTACAATGTTAGGCAAAATATCAAATGAAAATACAACAACCCACTGTATTAATGCTACTTATTTTACTTCATGTTTAATAAAAAAGAATTCATTATAATTCATTACAAAACCCAAATTTAAAAACAGAGCAACTGAAAAAGATAGGGATAAAGAAGAGGAATAGAAAGGGGGAATATGATAGAAGTGTATTATATGGGTGGGTGTATGGAAATATCAGTTATAAAAAAAAGGAAGAAAATGAAATGATGCAGACCCAAATGATAACACCAACAAGGAGGTTCCATTTAAAGAAACCACTGCACAGGCAACAATGAAACTTCTCTATGGTCACAGACATACAGAAGACTACAATATCACCAGTGGGATAATACCCAGTAGAAACATTAAAATCTCTGTACCACAGGCAACTTTAACTTCTTTATTTAAATCTCAGTTTATGGCCTATGGTTAATTAGGGAATTATTCCTACCCAGGTGGAAGATTATCAAAAATAAGTGTATGTTCAGAGTAGAAAGGAATAGTAAGCATTCACTGTTAAAAGTCACTTGCTTTTTATAAAATTCACAGAGAATTACCTTTTCTCTCTAAAATAAAGTATAATAATCCTCGCTGTTTTTATAAATGCAAACTCTGACAGGGCTATTAGCTAAATTAAAGAATGAATGTGGGCTCGAGAAATCAGAATAGTCAATGTATAAGAGATGGTTAGGGAGATGTTAGCTCTAAGCAATAATTGAGGTCTTCCAGGTGGGATATGTACGATCCATTATACTTAGGGGCACTAAATCCTTGGAATATAAGCTACTGATGCACAACAGAATTTAAGTTAAAGGTTTATTGACAAGACAGCCTTTAAGAACATTCAGTAAAAATTTCTTGGGAAAGTTCTCTTCCATACTTGTACATACTATACTTTGTACAGAAACTTTCCACTATAAATGACATGCATTTCTGAAACAACAGTATGATTAAGGCAGAAGTGAAGAGAATCCAGGGGTGAAAATTTTAGGCTTTTTCTAAAAGTTAGAGTGAAAAACTCAAGAGACTATAATTTTCCCTAAAGACAGAGACAAGCTAAAATGAAATCAAACTAGACAGTTAGATGCTTAGGATGTTAACTATAACTTCCATGGCAACTATTACAAAAATATCTAGAAAATATATAGGAAAGGAAAAAGATCAAAATGGTACAAGACAAAAAAATTAAACACAAAGAAGGCAATAACAGAAGAAATGAGGGCTAAAACAAGCTGCAAGAAATACCAAAAAACAACAACAACAACAACAACGAAGTGCAAAATAGTAAATTTTATCAGTAATTATTTTCAATGTAAATGGATTCAACTTCCAAATTGAAAAGTAGAGACTGGCGGAATGGATAAAAAACATGATCTGAGGGGCTGGGAAGGTGGCTCAGTGGTAGAGCACTTGCCCTGCATGCATGAGGCCCTGGGTTCGATTCCTCAGCACCACATAAGCAAAACAAAAAACAAAAAAAAACCATGATCTGACTATACACTACCTAGAAGACTCTTACTTTAGATAAAAAATAAAAACAGATTGAAAGTCAAAGAAACAAAATCAGATAATTCTTATAAATAATAATTAGAAGAAGGGCATTGGTGTTCATGCTAACGTAAGAGAAGATAGGCATGGTGATTCATGCCTGTAATACTAGTTATTAGGAGGATGAGGCAGAAGGATCACTTGAATTAAACAGTATATGATCATCATAATGCAGCAAGAGCCTGGTTCTTAATTTAAAAGAGAGGAGCAGGGGCAGGGAAGGTGGCTCAGTGGTAGAGCGCTTGCCTTGCATGCCTGAGGCCCTGGGTTCGATTCCTCAGCACCACATAAGCAAAAAGAAAAAAGCCGGAAGTGGTGCTGTGGCTCAAGTGGTAGAGCGCTAGCCTTGAGCTGAAGAGCTGAGGGACAGTGCCCAGGCCCAGAGTTCAGGCCCCACGACCGGACCCAAAAAAAAAAAAAGAGAGGAGCAGTCTTGATCCCCAGACAGCCAGTGGTGATACTGAGAGATGGTGGAACCTTTACAAGCTTGTTCCTAGTAGAAGGGAGGCTAGGATGTTAAAGGGAATACAACTGAGAGAGGTATTAAAACCTCAGCCCCTGTTCTCTTCTGCTTCCTAGTTGTCATGAAATGAGCAGCTTTGCTCTACTACATGTTCTCCTGCTACCACATACTGCCTCACCACAGGCCCCAAAATAATAAGGACAACAGCTCATGGATTGCAATCTCCAAAACTGTGAGCAAAATAAACCTTTCTTCTTTTTAGGTTGATGGCTTCAGGCATTTGCTATAGTAACTAACAAAAAACAAAGGACTCAAAGACATGAAGTAAACATTGACAGAATTTTTTAAAATTTATTTATTTCCTGGGAGGTATGTAGATTATACCTATCACCTCATGCATAGTAAGTACCTCTCTACCAATGGGCTAAAATAGCTGAAAACTTTAGTACTCTGCTTTCAATAAAAGAGTATCTAGTTGATCAAAGAAGAAATATGTGACTTAACACTACAAACTAACACCTAGATCTAACAGACATATATCACCACGATACCCAACAAAAGCATAGTATATATTCTGTTCAATTGCATGTGGAAATTTCTTCAGAACACACCATATCTGTTAGATCTATTAGGTTATAAAACAAGTCTTGATGAACTTCAAATCACACAAATTATCAGAGATTCTCTGACCACAATGGAGTAAAACTAGAAAATCAACAACAAAAAGAAAACTGGAAAAGTCACAAATATGCAGCAATTAAACATATGCTTAGTCAATGTGTCAAAGGAATTTAAAAAATTAGAGACAAATGAAAATAAAAAGACAACATAAAAAATGTATGAAGTCAAATGCAGAGGGAAATATATAGCAAGTAAATGCCTCTACTAGAAAAGAACTTTCTCAAAGCAATCTAATGAAAAAGAAATAAATGAAACCCACAGCTACAAGAATGAAGTAAACAATATAGGCAAGAGTAGAAATAAATGAAATTGAGAATAAAAAAGAGGCAAATTAAACCCGAAAGTTTCTTCTTTGAAAAGATAAACAAAATTGACAAATGATCAGCTTAAACTACAAAGAAAAAAAAAAGGAACCTGTTAGAAACAGAAATGAAGTGAGATCACTACTACTGACCCTGCTTAAATAAAGGACTGTAAGGATATATTTTAAATAGTTCCAAACCAACAAATTAGATAACCTAGAAGAAATGGATTACTGGAATCATACAAAAAAGAAATCCTCAAATTTTGTTTTCCCATAGCTTTTTCTTCTGCTGATAGAACATTTATGAACATTTATGATATGAACATTTATGTCCATAAAATTCTCACAAAAATTTATGTTATCAAGAACTTCAGCAACTACATATAGTTCCTCTAAAGTTCTGTATGAAGCAGAAAAGAAAATACATATACTCTAGGACTCCATAGAACTTACCAGTGGTATAGCAGCTGATCTTTTTTAAATCTATGTCCAAGGAGCCTTGACAATGACCATCCTCAAAAACTCAAATTGTCATGAGATAATTTATATATAACCATGTTTAAAATCTGGCTACCAAAATTTCTTGATAAAGAAGGAAAGGATTCTTACGTCTTTCTATCCCGTGTTGTTTTTTTCTTTAATCCTAATCATCCAATATACTTGTTTTCCTCCTAAACTAAAATTCACATATATCAAATGCTTCCACCTTGCTAGTTCACACCACTAGGCTATTCCTGTATTTAGTTTTTTTAAGAAAAACAGCCAGTCACAGTAAAAGTGACACCTTCATTTTTACTCAATGCAATTCTTAATTAACCAAAAGGCACAGGCATCCTAGCAGAGCACAGATCACTGAAGAGAACACAATGTTCTATCCTAACATATATCGTCTTCCCCAATTAAAACATTATAGAAGAAGAAGCCTCAAGCAGAACAGATACAATTCCAATCTACACTGACACAGAAGCTTTAGACACCACAGTAAGTTGTTTTATTTTGTCATGTAATAATATTAAACAGGCCTTTCTACTGATCTGAAATGTTAAGTTTCAAGCATTCCTTTAAAAATATATTCAGAATATGAATCAATGCCCCACCCCAATCTACCTTTAAGTTGTCCCCTCCTCATTTTGAGGAGAGACAAGAGTTTGCACTTCTTTAATGATTTCCTTTACCTTGTAAGTAGTCATTCGATGCTGAGCAATTGTAGTCAATTTTTCTAGAAGGCCTCGTAATCTCTCCTGTGTTGCATGGGAGATCAAATTCACAGCATCAGAATTAAATTCTGTAATGTCATGCTTTTTACCTGTGGAAGCAGAGAAAATCCATTACATGTTTTAGTAGTGGCTGATAATTGAAATAATTAGCACAGCAGGTATTCTGTTCCCCCTGGAAGTCATACCCATTACGAATAAAGGTTTGGAGATTATGATTTTCCTGGTAAAGTCACAACTTCAAAGATCTTAGACATTACATTAATAAAATCTAGCCTGAAGCCTCAGAAAATATAGACATTGTTTCACTTAGCCTCTAGAATTATGCTCCTTGCAAGGTCATTTATAGGACAAAGTTAATAAGAACACAAATCAAGTTTAGTGTGCAGGGGGGGAAATGGTAAATGTAGAAATTAGTGCTACATTCTGTTAATTTTAGTAATTAAAAAATAGAAAATTACATTTCACCTAGTTTGACACTGTTAACAGTTTGTGACATTTATTTCAATGAATTTAGACTGTGAGTTTGTTGATTCCCTATCTACAATACATATCTATAATCTTTTTTGTCCGTTACCAACTGTGCTTATATTTTGTGTAACTCATTTTTTGAGGGTTGGGGTCTGATCATGGGGCCTGAACTCTGGGCCTGGGCACTGTCCCTCAGCTCTTCAGCTCAAGGCTAGCGCTCTACCACTTGAGCCACAGCACCACTTCCGGCTTTTTTCTTTTTGCTTATGGGGTGCTGAGGAATCGAACCCAGGGCCTCATGCATGCAAGGCAAGCACTCTACCATGAGCCACCTTCCCAGTCCCTAACTCATTTTTTTAATAACTTGGCCTAATAATGAACTTTAAAGTTGGATTGGTTCAAAGCTTCATGTTTTTATACCCATCCATTTGAATAAGTTCTCTTTTTGCTGAATAACATTTTTTCATCCCTCTACTAAGAACAGTGGACAACTTGGATCAGATAGCCAAAGGCAGAAGCTCATTAAAGCTCAACCATACCAGAATTAATAAAGAATGTATTCTCAGGGACAGTAGAACTACCAGAATCAACACATATCGAAATCTAAAGATATAGACTGTATCTTTAAAACTGCTGTGACTATTTTTAAGTATATGTGTGTACATGTAGTATATGCACACAGCAATTTAAGAATATTATGGTTTTGTTTTGCATGCTGATTCATATGAAACATTATATTGCCAAAAGATGAACTCAAACTCTAGCAAAATCATGCTTGATTATATCAACAACTCTTAATTTTTTCACATTACCACACAATAAATACTAAACTTTAAAGGTTGTAGTAAACCACAAAGGAAGATGCAAAATCAAACTTCCCCTAAGCAAAGCTTTCAAAACTGAATTTATCTTCAATTTCAAACTGAAGCATACGCATACACACACATGTGTACACACACACACACACACACACACTGTAAAGTATAATTCACTTTATTGAAATCTTTAGTCTAAACAAACAATGGAACCTACAAAGTAAGGGAGATAAAATTTAAAGACAACCCAAAATTAAAATGACAACTAAATGGAAGTGGCGCTGTAGCTCAAGCAGGAGAGCACTCGCCTTGAGCTACAGATTGCAGAGACAGCCCCCAAGCCCAGAGTTCAAGCCTCACGACCGACCAAAAAAAAAAAAAAAATTACAACTAAACAAGGCACAGTGACATGCTATCTATGCTTAAAGAAAATGAGCATTCAAAAATATTTAGTGCTTGCAGAAAGAGAATGTCTCAAAATAATTTCTTATGTATTTATAAAACAAAGATACCCATACATCTGTGCAAAGTCATAGGTTCAATCCCTAGCACTACAAATAACAAATCCATATATTGAATATTAAAGAGTTAGGAGAATAGCTCAACTGGTAGAGTGCCTGCCTAGCAAGTGCAAAGCCGTAAGTTCAAACCCTAACGCCCCGAAATAAAAATAAGCTAATAATAAATAGTTTTAGAGCTTAGAGAAAAAAGGTCTTTAAAAATATCTTCAGTAGGTTAGCAAGAAAACATGCCTTCAAATTCCAAAATTAAATTCTTTTTTTTTTTTTTTTGCCAGTCGTGGGGCCTGAACTCTGGGCCTGGGCGCTGTCCCTCAGCTCTTCAGCTCAAGGCTAGCACTCTACCACTTGAGCCACAGTGCCACTTCTGGCTTTTTTTGTTTATGTGGTGCTGAGGAATCGAACCCAGGGCCTCATGCATGCAAGGCAAGCACTCTACCACTGAGCTACCTTCCCAGCCCTCCAAAATTAAATTCTATAGAAAAATTCCTATTTTTAAATATTCTTTTTAATAAAGTCAATTTAATTGATTAAAGAGACCTAGTTAGTCCTTGCATGCTTACTATTGATTTTATTGAATGTCTGTGTAATTTAACTTAGGTAATTAAGAAAAAAAGGGAAGGATATTGGCATCTAATCTCCTAACATTATTTAAGCAAACAAATTTTTTTTGTTTTTCTTAAATTTCTTTGGGTAAATTTTAACTTCTGTTTTTAAGGAATGGCTTGGTTGTGATCCATTGTATAATGAGAAATTTTATTATAAATGAAAACATTCCATGAAATACATTAGTATCAGTAAGTCTACTGTTTTATTTTAAGTTTAAATAATTCAGGAGTATTTTTTTACAATTGAGTATTATATTGTATCACAAGTTTGTGTTTCATCAAAAAAATAACTAAAAATGACCCACACATGTAATCCCAGGTCCTAGGGAGGTAGACAGGGTGATCATTGCTCAAGCTAGCCTGAGCAAAGGTAGCTTGAGACCATATCTAAAAACAAACAAACAACAAAAAAACCCAACATACTAAAAGAAAAGGGACTTGGGGACATGATCTCAGGGTTCCAAAACACAGAACTGTGAAAAAGTCAGTTAAACCAACTAGTTCATGCTATTTTATTACAGCAACCAAACTGGCTAAAACAATAGCCTATTTTGTTCTTTCTTTGTCTATGGTTGTTTTAACTGAATGGCTGTGACAGTGACCATATGGCTCGCAAAATGGCAAAAACTTACCATATGGCTTCTTGTGGAAAAAGTTGTTGATTCTTGTTTTAAGTGGTCAAAAATACTTATTGAATTTTTTTGTTTTGTTTTGTTTTTTAAATACCATATAATCAGTTTGGTACCAGTGGCTCACATCTGAAATCCTAGCTACTAAGGAGGCTGAGATCTGAGGATTTTAATCCAGGGCAGGCAGGAAAGTCCATGACACTCCTATTATCTACAATAAACTACCCTCCTTCACCCCAAAAAAAGCTGGAAGTAGAGCTATAGCTCAAGGGATAGAGCACTAGCTTGGAGCAGAAAGCATCTCAGGGACAGCACCCAGGCCCTGAATGTAAACCCAGGACTAGGAAAAACAACAACAACAACAAAAACTATATAATTGAAAGTTAACCCAAACTAGAAATAAGAGAATAATTAGTAAACTTAAGTAATTATTTCTGCCAGTATTCTAGGCAATGTACTATTAAAGAGTTAGAATACCATTAAGTTTCACAAACCGTAACAAAAAAGTACAATGTTTAAAGCTTGTAGTTTTTGGAAGTGAGTCTCAGACAGTACAAAATAGATATGCAAAGAAGAAAATGAAAGGACAGAAGGAAGTCAGGGAAGGAAGGAGAAAAAGAGGGAAAAACGCAGGAAAACAGCAAATATTTTGTAGACAGTTCTTTTTAAGCCCCATATTCTGAATTACTTTCTAAATTTTAGATGCTCACGATAAAGGTAAAATCCTTAATTTAAATTACAAATGAAAAAGTGACCATTTGTACAGCATATAGTTGCTCATATACTTAATTACAAACTAAATTTAAAATATATACTAATATATTTCACAGTTACTCTGCAATTTTAAAATATACCGTAAGTGTATAAATAAAAATCAAACCTTCAATACCAAAAAACACGTAAGTTTCTGCTAAAATATACAAACCTCATTAATACTTGCTTTTCAAATGTAACACTGGTGGAGAAGAGCTAGTCTATGTTTTGACACAGAATGATGTAACTCACATAGGAAAAAAATCTCTTCCCGGTTTTTCAGTTAATATGGAGAGACTGTGGTCTTTCACAGGATATTGAGTTTGAGGTTAAACAATACTAAAAAGCTGCTTGGCTCCAGAACAACACTGCTATGCTCCCTTCCATTTTCTTTCACACACTGCAGTTATCTAACAACTACTACTAGACCTAGTGAGAGCATTGATCCTCTAGTTCAGATTTAGGTGGCACTGGCTCTCATTAGCGATTCCCATATTTTATAAGGAGAAACATATACAAACATGCCTACGGGCCAACCAGGGAAGAAAAAAAGGAAAATTAAAATATTAGTCCATTGAGAAATATGGATAAAATATTAACTTCTATTATCTGAGCCAGAAAAGGCAGGTTATATTATATAGTTTATACTAAAGATTTCTAAAATGATATACTTTATATAATAATCAGGAACTTTTTATTATTTCCAAAGACTTAAAAGTATGCTTCAGAATTCCATGCTGTCTGGTAACATTTTATCTCAGACATTCTTATTAGATAATCCTATCTCTGTACTTACCAATGTCTAAAATTCTCTTTTCAAGAGCTCCAATGAAAAGAAATGGTTCATCTTTACATGACTGAATGAGTGTACCAACCACTTCAGAGTTTGTTGCTAAGATACAGGCATTTTCTTCACTGAGGTTGACTCCTGCCATGGAAGGTACATCATTGATGTCATCTTCGTCTCTAATAGTAAACAAAAAAGTCATAGTTTTTGATGTATGTACTCACACTCTCAGTAAAAGAGATAGAATTGGGCTGGAAAGGTGGCTCAGTGGTAGAACGCTTGCCTTGCATGTATGAGGCCCTGGGTTCAATTCCTCACCACCAATAAGCAAAAAGAAAAAAAGCTGAAAGTGGCGCTATGGCTCAAGTGGTAGAGAACTAGCCTTGAGCCGAAGAGCTGAGGGACAGCCCAGGCCCAGAGTTCAGGCCCCACGACTGGACCATCCCCATAAAAAAAAAGAGATAGAATTATCTCTTCATAACAAACATTACTTAATTCAACCAATACAGAGAAGAATAAAAGAATGGCTCTTTTCCCACAAGCCTTTAAAATTACTTGATATCTGTAACCACAAGTACACATTTAATATAAAAAAACATGAATCAAACAAGTCTATCTTCTAAAGCTTATCCTTTCCTCTCTGGTAAAGGAGATACACCATGATGAATTTGGAGTTATACTAAGTCATCCACAAATCCTCTGCAGTGAAAGACAAAGAAATGAAAACAATCATCTGTGCTTCCAAGATAGTTAAAATCCTCTCAGATTTCCCCAGTGCAAATCACTACTCCACTGAGGGCAGCAGAGATTCCAGGATCCGTGAGGTAATTGCTCTATAAAGTCCCTTGGAAAGCTGCTTATTCAACTAGCTATTCTGAACTCAAACTGTATCTACTTTTGGTTTTCTGCTTCAGAGTTTTGTGTAATCCATTTATACCAACTGAAGACATTAAACAACTGACTGTAAAGAGCCTATATGGAAAATATACAATTAAATATACACTAAAACACACAAATACATACACATGTAGAAATGACAAAATACAATATGTTTGGGTTCCTTGCTTTATTATTTTTTGGCAGTACTGATGTTTGAATTCAGGGCCTTGTGCTAACTATTCTACTTGAATCATGTCTCCAGCCCTTTTTTGCTTTATTTTTTAAGTGAGGTCTTGTTTAACCATGGCCTCAGACAGATCCACCTATAGTCACCCACTTAACTTGAATCCTACACATGAACCCCCATGACCACCTTATTAACTGAGATGGGAGTCTTACTACTATTTTGCCCAACTTTATAGTTATGACCCACTGAGCTTGCTATGACCAGAAAACTTAAACAATTGTTTTTATCTCACAGAACTGCTATGTAACTTCAAAACAAGTATACCTAAGATGAGTGTATGATATATTTCTTCTCTACCCTATGAGTATACATGTATATATGTGATATATACGTATATTAATATATAATATATTGTTACAATGTATTCATTATATATTATATAGCATATAAATGTACTATGTATTATATAGTATGTATAATATACTATATGTAATATTTATATATGTGTTATTTATATGTATATATATTATATAACTATTATATATAGTAGACATATAATATATATAACTCATACACCCACTCATAGACACTCATATAGTAGAAAAGACAGGAAATATTAAAATTCCTTCCCAACATCCTCGCTGCCACATGTACTCACAGGCAAGTTACTGGCTATAACTTACACACTAATATAACATATACAAATGTGATTATATAAAAAAGATGTTTCTTCTCTTTATTGTATCAAATAGTATATCATGCAGTGTCATATCAATTCATTATTTAAACTAAAATTAGACTTCCTATTTGTGCACAGAAAGGGGAAGAAAGAAAATCCTCTGGTGTCTAATTAAAAAACCAATACATTTAAGATGACAGAAAGAGCCTGAGTACCAACATAAACAACAGAAGACAGCTAAATGAAAGAAAGTAACATGATAGACACCACAGATGAGAGTGATGAAAGAAAGTCTTATCTAAACAGTAGACCAAAAAGCATAATAAAAGTGTGTTTCTGCATTAGGCCAAGAAAAAGCAATAATAGATCTCTCAAACTACCAAAGAAAATGGTCAAATTCACTCCTATCAAATGCCAGAGATGGAGGACATTGTGAATAGTTGTAGGAATCAACTTCTCTCTCATGTAAATCAAATAGTATGACCAGATTTAAGTATTGAAATACCAAGAGTGGGGCTGGGAAGGTGGCTCAGTGGTAGAGTGCCTGCCTTGCATGCATGAGGCCCTGGGTTTGATTCCTCAGCACCACATAAGCAAAAAGAAAAAAGCCGGAAGTGACGCTGTGGCTCAAGTGGTAGAGTGCTAGCCTTGAGCTGAAGAGCTGAGGGACAGCGTCCAGGCAGAGTTCAGGCCCACGACTGGACCCCAAAAAAATAAAATAAATAAATACCAAGAGTATAAAAATGGTAGTTATCACAAACTTAAAGAATTAAAATTAAAATTATTTTAACTATAATCTCAAAGACCTTGAGCAAATAAAAGTCTTTCAAAAAAACTTGGGCACCAAGTTATAGTTAATAAGCATTAATGTTCTATTATAAAATAATGACCACAGATAAGAATAATGTATTGTTTAAAAGAAAAACTAGATTAATCACTACCCAAACTTAAACATTACACAAAATACATGTGTATCAAAACATTACTACAGTTCCTCAAGTATGTGTACAGTTATTGTAAATCAAAAATTAAAGGACCAAGAACACAGATACTGGAAGTCAATTCACTCCTACATCTAATCACTTAACATCTTTGGGACTCAAGTTTCCCCCACAGTAAAATAAACAACTTAAGAGATAAAGAACTTTCTCAGGTCCCATCCAGTCACTAAGAATAAAGTAGTTCTTTTATGACCAATTCAGAAGAGATTTAAACACACAAAAACACACAAATATACAGGCATTATTTATTTATGTGTGTATATGTATGCACATACATCCTTATATGGAGATATGTTACTGGAAAGATACATGAGAAATTCTCCTCCAGAGAGGAAATTAGGAAAGTGGGAACAAGAAAAGGACTTTATACCATATTACATCCCTTTCAATTTCTAGAAAGGTAAACAATATACATGGATTATTCAATCTAAATTATTATGATTTTTAAAAAAAACAGCCACGTACTGGTGGTTTATGCCTACAATCCTTGATCCTTAGATCTCAGTTCAAATCCAGCATAAGCAGGAAAGCCCATGAGACTCTTTAATTAACCACCAAAAAAGCTAGAAGTGGAACTGTGGCTCAAATCCAAAAAAATGTGGGACAGCACCCAGGCCTTTAGTTCAAGCTCCAGGACCAGCACCAGAAAAACAAAGTAAAAGAGAAACAAAAACAAAAAATATTTAGACAGGCTAAGATATAGGTATGTGGTAGAATGTTTGCCTATCATGCAAAAGGCCCTGGGTCAATCCTCAGAATAACAAAAATTTAAATTGAATTTTAAAAATCAAATAGAACCAGGCGCTGGTGGCTCACGCTACCCAGGAGGCTGATATTTGAGGATCATGGTTCAAAGCCAGCCTGGGCAGAAAAGTCAGTGAGATTCTTGTCTCCAATAAACTACTCAGAAAAAGATAGAAATGGCACTGTGGTTCAAGGGGTAAAGCACTAGCCTTGAGCACAGAGAGGCTCAGGACAGTGCTCAGGCATTGAGTTCAAGCCCCATAACCAGCAAAAGAGGTGGGGGGGGCGGGGGAGGGGGAGAGAGGGAGAAAAAAGAAAAAAGGATGAAATGCATCCTTCTCTTAAAAATAAAATTGGAGTTATTAAAGTGACTCATACATGACTCTTATACACATGCATTCAGTACTAAGGGCTTAGGTCAGTTGTGTGCCAATTCACTAACCCAAGTAAACTGCCTTTTAATGGTTCCTGTCCAGCTTCTGCTGAGATCTTACATAAAGACTGGAAGAGAACATTATCAAGTCTAACAGCACCTAATATATAGTACTAAATGGAATTCAGTCAATGAGAAGACAATCCCAGGTCTTTTAGAATCCTGCAACCTTTTCTTGCAATAATCAGAGAACTAACAGCCCAATAAGATTTATTCTCACCTGCCAGCCTTCCCTATATCTGGCCCCAAGCTGAACACAGTTCCCTCTAGCACAGATGCCTGTTACCATGGTTACAGGTGGCAGCAGGAGCAGAGGACCCCTACTGAGAAAGGAAAAGGTGGCACAGTATACAGCACCCAAGTCATTTAAAATTTTGTCTAGGAAAAGAGGTTGAGACTGCAGAAAAGTAAAGGCAAAATAACTGACTAGTGGCATTGCCAATAAAGTCGACATGATGAACAGTAATCAATGTTATGATATTTAAGGATATTTGTGACTCTGGTTTAATTTTGAAAGAAAAGGAACTGCAAATTAACTAGTCTTTAAGCTTAATGCAGTCACTTCTGATGAAGGTAATTTCTTGTTTGAAAATATGCTCTGAAAGAAACTTTAAAAAGTGACTCAGTAAATAAAATCTTCAACTCAAGATTCTGTGAAGTGAAATATAGTCGAAAGTGAAAATTAAAGGAACACTACCTATTTGTAATGTAACCAGTCTATTAATTTTTGCCTTTCATAAAGTAAACCATTGCTCATGCCTTTTAAAATCACTGCTACCCTCATGATCTGCAATAGCACTAACTTCTGAATTGCATTAACTCACATTCTTTTCTTGTTCAAATAATTCTTATGTTCTCATGCAGTCAATCTCACATCCAATCTTTCAAATAAGGACCTCATGAGTTTCCTTTTCCTCTTCTCATTACCTATTAACTTATACTGACTTTAGCCTCTGTTCAGGGTTTGCTCAGCTAGTCCTTCAACACACTATGATTTCTCATCTTTCAGCCAAAGCCCTATACCAAGTCCATTTCAGATCTTAGTTTATTTTTACATTTTTAAATCACTTCTTCCTTCAATTGCTAAAACGTTCAGGCATCTGAGAATACATTTTTGTCTTTGTATAGTACATCTTACTATATTTTTTAATCTAACAATGTCTTTGCCTACCTTAGACTCCATAATAAGTCTAACTTAATTGGTCCTATTTCTAATAAAGTAGTATATAAATTGTATGTAAACATCAAAGGAGGTT